TATGAAATCAAAATCGCCGGCATTTTCTACAATTTCCTTCACTCATTCTGCAACAAGTAGATAATTTATATAAATTGGAATTAGAAACGTACACTGTTCTAATTTTGATATCATGAAACAGATCTCAACCAATACATATTTCAAAATTCCCCACCGTGTCTGTTTAACTGTCTGTCTAATTGTCCAAAGGCGATACATTCAGAAACTACAGATTTCCATAACAATTGGTAACCCACCCATACAAAAACGGCTTTGAATACTCGTATTCCACAACATTCCAGACATTTGCTCTAGAATACACTCGAATGTTCTGTGCTATTCTAGAAACTTCCAGCCCTCAGGTACAAACCCTCCAGGTACAAACGAAAACTTTTTTGGGTGGGGAATAGAGGTTAGGTTAAGTTAGGTTATGTCCAAAGTGAGTGGGCCTATTCGACCCTCCAATGCAACCCGCAAGGGTTTATAGTAGGCGAAAATTCTAGCTCTCATATCTTGAATAGGACGCCTCCCAACGGGAACCTTATTCACGGATGGAGGACAAAGTTTCCACGCTATATGACTCTCTTTATAGTTCCACAATGATCTAGGATGCTCCTTTGCTTTCGAACGTTTCAGGCTGTTCTCTAACATTCCACCACATTCAAGAATGTTACAGGATGTTCTGAAATGTTGGAATTTACTAGAGACTTTTTTAGATGGCAAAATTTTCCAGCCTTCATATCTTCAGAAGCAGAAGCCTTTCTGGGAGAAATGTGTAACTGTTTCAAAGGGCAAACTGATATTGCACTACTATGATAGAAAAAATGTAGTGCGGAGTCGGTAAGGATCGTTGGTACTTAATAAAAATAAGAGCGATCGTCTGTGAGCAACTGCTCAGCCATGGATAAGCTGATGTAACTTTTTTATGACAGCAACTGCAACAGTTATCAACTGACCATGATTTTTATAGAAAAATCATCTTCAGCGATGGACAGCAATGGACAAGTTGATGTAACACTACTATGACAGAAACAAGGTAGTGATAAGTCGGTAAGGATCATTGGTACTTAATGCGATCGTCTATGAGCAACTGCTCGGCCATGGACAAGCTGATGTAACACTACTATGACAGCAACTACAACAGTTGGCAACTGACCATCATTTTTATAGAAAAATCTACTTCAGCGATAGACAGCAATGGACAAGTTGATGTAACACTACTATGACAGAAACAAGGTTAGTGATAAGTCGGTAAGGATCGTTGGTACCTAATAAAAATAAGAGCAATCACTCCATGCAGCTAGTGAGCATGGAGTAGTTGGCAACTGACGCAAACGTAAACAAATCTATTTTCTCCACAAAATGAGATAAATATTGCATCATGTAGACCTCTATCATCTTACGTCAATTTCAGCAGAATTTCTCTCAAAAAGCAACAAATTCTTGCAGAAAATACGAAAGCGCTGTTATGAACCATGCAGATGTGAACAAATCCAGAAGTATTTCAGAACTGCCTAATAATTTACATAGTGTGCCATCTTGTGTTTAACAGTGTAAATAGCGGTTAACGCAGGTTATCTGAACATATTTTAGTGGTGCAAACTGTTTCTCTGCCAAAAAGTGCTGTAGGTGAAGCATTCTATTTGAGACAAATTGGATACTACACATTCTGTATTGTCGAAAATAATGGGTGGAATCCCGTTTTCTACACTTGGACAGAGGACCAGGTTGGCAGGGGCTGCACAGAAGTTGGCTCAGCACTACTTAATTTTTTAGAAAACGTTGAAATTGAGGAAGACATAGTAGAATTGCGTTTATTTTGTGACGGCTGCGGCGGTTAAAATAAAAATGCGCATATAATTCATACATTAATATTTTGGCTACAACAAAATACAAAAAATATAAAATCTATTACTCTCATATTTCCTACCAGTGGATAGAGTATTGTTGCAAAAAGAGGCCAGTATTTAAAATAAACAGCAGTACCACGCACTGTATAAAGAAATAGGAAAAATAAGGGTATTAGGTGTTGATTGGATGCTTTACGACATCAAAGGTCTGGAAGAGATTTATAAAAAACTTCCAGGCATTAGTGCAACGAAAAAAATTCACCTAAGTTTAATGACTGAAAAGAACAATACTGTTGTTAAGTGTCGTGGTCTAGTTAATTGCAGATTTGAATCATATACTGAGATATACCAAAATCTCGGCAAGCGAGGACGTTCTTCAAAAAATTACATCAAAGGTCTGGAAGAGATTTATAAAAAACTTCCAGGCATTAGTGCAACGAAAAAAATTCACCTAAGTTTAATGACTGAAAAGAACAAGTGTTGTTAAGTGTTGTGGTCTAGTTAATTGCAGATTTGAATCATATACTGAGATATACCAAAATCTCGGCAAGCGAGGACGTTCTTCAAAAAATTTCGCCTTCAGTCTTCTGAAGGCGGAATTTAATGATGACTGGCGGACAGATCCTGAACTAGCTTGGTATAAAAGTATCATTGATGGCAATATAATTGGAAATGCTACACAGAAGATAGAAGAAGATAACGTTGGAAATATAGATCCAAGAAAGAGGTTGTGACTGTTTATGTGAAGAAGATCCTGCGCTTCACCTTTAATGTTCAAACTTCCACATTGTTTTTGCTGAAGAAACCTGCGATTATTTGTTCTTTTTCCAAAATATGTTAGCGTTACCCATTTCTTGATTTCTGGTTGTTTGACCTGAGGATTTATTAATAATTATTAGAATACCTTCCTGTACACATTTCTATTTGTCTCTAATAATTAGTTCATCACCTATTTGGATACATCATCATCATCACTATATAGTGTTGTGAACCACGCCCGAAAGAAAATAACGTCGATCGCCACTGGTAGCCATAAACCAGGCGTGACGTGGCTAAGAGCGCACGAGTGTACGATGATTTCCCGCCAATCGAGAAGCAGCGAAAATAATGTTACCGACTTCAACAGAACTTCGGAGAAATTTCGACAATATTCTTTTACGATATTTAAAGGCTAGCCACGAGATGTTCGGGACAGTCAAGTGGACGTTACAGTGCGTTACGCGAAGTGATCTAGTAACGCGATAGATATTCAAATAATAGTTCTTGCCAGAATTCATATTATGAAGGAAAGCGGTAGAACTGTCAGCTTTATGTGGGTGTCTAGTAATTGTGGCATAGAAAACAACGAGGATGTGGATAAGGCAGCTAGAATGATCGCTAACTCTAACGAACATGAAGATGTACCACTCCACTTAGAAGATCTAAAGAATTTCAATAAAACCAAAGGAAAATCTGAGTAGCAAACTCTTTGGAATGAAACTGACGCGAAACTGAAATGCTCGAAACCAAGTGTGAATAAGCGAATCTCACCACTGAAATTGACCAGGAAATTACTTGCTCCTAGGAGAACAACAACCTCTATGTACTATATGCCGAACAGTACTAACAGTACAACATATACTTGTAGAATGTCCAGATTATGAGGAAACCAAGAGACAACATAAATATAACTGGGGCAACGAAAGAAATTCTTTGTGATGATAGACGAACGTTAAGAAACCTGATAGCATTTTTGAAAGCCGCGAATATAATAAATGGAATTTGAGAAACAAACAAGTCCGCGGCTAATAACCAAGCAGTTGATGCCGCAAAAAAATAGTTGAAGTTTTAGTTGAAGTATTTGTGTATTCAAAGTGAAATAAAGTTAAATTTGATTATTCAGTGTAGTCAATTATTGGTGAACCCACGGGGGAAAACGTAACAATAGTTATAAGAGTCGCTTCACGCTGTCTGTCCATAAGTATCCTTAAATCTTTAAAAATACGTATAGGATTTTGATGCGGGTATTGTTAATAGATAGAGTAATTCAAGAGGAAGATCTATATGCATATAATTTGCATACACTGATAATTTTAGAGGTTTCTAATGTGATGTCGTAAATAAACACTTTTTTGCGCTTACATTGCAATGGCTGGTCTTCAAAAAAGTATGCGGTGATATATGGCTATCTCTCAAAATCTGACGCGCTTGAGTATTTCAAAATGGCGAATTTTTTTTGCACATTATAATAATGGCCGCGAGTTTGCGTCAGATCGAAATCGTCAGATTATTGAATGAGAGCTTTTTTTGTTGCACTTAACACCCCCTTAGAAAATCTGGAGCGCTCGATTAAATTTTTTCCTTTCCATTTTTAACCCTTACGTAAAACCACCCGCATCATGCAAACGATCAGATTAACATACGAACATTATTAAAAATACGTAACACATTGATGCTATCAATATCTGACGCGCTCGAGTATGTCCATGTAACAGTATTTTTTTACATATTTAAAAATCTATAGCCGCTTCCCCCACCGATGAAAAGGTATATATTATATGACATTTTTGTCTTCTTATCATCTAAGCTTTGCAACCTAATATGTCTCCATGACGCTCGAGTAAATCCCCCCTGCTATAACGGTTGCGGTGGTACCGATCGATCTGCCACACGTACCTACAAAGTTGTAGGTCTACATGAGCGGCAAGGGATAAGGTGTTTTTCACCTGAACCTAGAGCATGTCATATGCACCTCTGCGGAATATTAATCATTATTCCGACTCCCACCCCGGAGAATGTCTTTGTGGAGTTGTTTCCTGGCTTTGCCTGCAGGTGACGTAGTGGAGATTCCACTGCATCAACTGTAGAAAGAGTTCATGACAAGCTGGAATTATATTCATTTGTTCGTGATACTCAGATGGTTGGTTCACTCCGTTCTGAAGGGACCATGCCCGGCATTGATGATGGGGCAAGGATCCCGAAACCGGTCTAGTGGGTGGTCGTACCGACCAAATGAAATTAAATTCTGCTTTTCATAGTAGGAAATAACTTCCACATCGCACAGGCACCTGATGGTCGTAGGTAAGCGAAAAGTAACTGAAATAGATCATAAAAACATTTATTATCAAAATAGGTACAATATAGCAACATTGTATGAAATTAATTCAAACATAAACGATGATGGAAAGAAATTCAGTGGGTATCCATAAACTGTAGTTTCGAGAGAACCAAAATGTGATTTGGCAGCGGCTTTGGTTGTGGCGATAAAAGTGTGAGAATTTGTCTTTCTGTATCTACATTTGTCACACAAACGAAACCAGCAACATGTGAAGAAACCACCTCATTATATGTCTTCTCTGAAACACTTACTGCTAAAATATGATGCAGGAGGCCTGCATTGGGTGACAATAATACGAGTTTAGTCATGTGGTCATCTGCCTTCATTCCAAGTGGCAAGCAAGATTCTGGAAGAGCAGGGGCACCAACTTTAAAAATTTTCACCTCAAAGAACTTCACATCGAACGAGTGGGGGTATAAGGAATCGCTAGGAGTGCCATAGAAGTATTCTCGTGTCCTCTGATCCCTGGCCTCACCTCTAACTCTCTTTGATCGTTCCACAACTCCTCCACTCTTAGGCAGAAATACCACATTAAAGTTCGGCACATCTCTAACCAATTCATTGTATAGTCTTTCCTGATCCAAAACGAATATAACATCAACCTCAAAACATTTTGCAGAACTCAGCAACTGTTTGTATCCTTCAGCTTTGGTCCACCCACAGGTGTTGATGATAGCTCCCGAGGATCTTGTTCTTTTATTAACTTCTAGCCTTTCTTTCACTGCTCCTGCCAACTGTTGAACCAGCATATTGAATAGGGTTATATTTGAACCTGGAGTTTTGTCTCCAAAATTATACACAAGAGGAGCTTCTTGGGAAAATCCTTCATCAATGGAAGCAGGCCTCTCGATCATTAAAGCCCCTATTGTACCTGGGATTGAAATATGCCCTTGGCCTACATCGAGGTCTACGAAAATGGGTCTTCTTCCCATTCGAACAGCATAATTTAGAAGTAGTCTACAAATGGTTGACTTTCCAACATCACTAGGTCCGACAACCATCGCAATTGGTCCTCTTTCGTTATATTTCTTTGCGTCAGTTCGCATGAACTCCAAGGCCCCATGACAGTTTGAATACATCACCATAGGAGCCACTTTTGCAGTATAAATCACATAAGTTTTTCCTTTTACCTCCACAACGCAACCATGCCACGTGGAAACTGCTACTTTGGCACCTGTAGTGAATTCGTAAGTTTTCCCCTTGACTATATGAAATAAAATTTAATTTCTCAGTATGAAGTGAACGTCTATGATTCAAAAACTACAAGAAAAAATATAGGTCCGTATTTAAAAATTCAAAGTTGGAGGTGACCCAAGTCAGATGACACTATATATAAAAGATTCATTGACATATTCTGATAGCCCACATCAAATGCCAATAGCAAAATGTGGACAGATTTTCAATATGTCTGCGAATAAAGAAGATATAGGCAAAAACATTATTTGGGATTTTTTGGTTTTTCGTGTATATCTCCAGAACCAAAAGAGCTATATTCGATTTTTTTACATCATTGAATAGGTATTTGAAATACACAACTTTGCCACGATTTAACCGACACTCTATCTCTTATCGTTTACAAGATCCCCATGAACAGAAACGAATTTGAATAGCCCTGTATATTGGAGAGGGATTTCTTGGGGCTTGGATTCTTGTTGAATAAACGTTTTTCCTTTTTTTTGTATATAAAGACGTTTCGTCGACGGGACTTTTTCAATTCGAGCTACAATGGAATTTTTTAATCAGTGGTAGTTTTTGGGATTTTTTTTGGGATTTTTTTCTGCATTGTTGGATTAAAATTATTTTTGAGATTTTTCTTCATAATTTATGTGGATGTACTTTGTTTTTTCTGTCATAGTGAAACATTTTTTATGTTCTTTTCATTTCGATTGTTAATGGCTGTGGCGGTGTTAAAAAAGTGGAGACTTGGGATCATATCTCGGATCTTTGGAGCTGAACGATTTATTTACAATGGTTATGCAAATATAGTCTCTTTTCATGAAATCTAAATATTATGTATTTAAATGTTGACTTCAAGAGGGGCCCCCACAATAAGAAAAAAAAATATTCAAATTTTCACGGGTCAGCAACTTTATCGTTTTCCCTCCCAAACATATTTGTGCATATTTGTTATCTTTATATCAGAAATAAGCGATTATTGCAAGTTTCCATTTACTATCAACTTTTTATTTGGTTGAACATTTACTGATAGGTCCATTAACGTACAGTGTAGGAAGTTGAGACTGGCCCGAACGAATTGTTCTTTTAGATGATTTGTTCCAGTTTCTTTTGCCATATATAATCAAATGGATTAATAGTGTGTACTTTTTTCTTACAGTACTGGAGAATTATCAACATGTTGGTACATTCTGCTCTCAGGATCAGTTTTCATCGATGGATCAATGTTCCTGCCAAGATCCAGGTGAGAATTCAAATTTATTTTCTTGTGAAGAATTGTGGAATTGAACATTTATATGCCGATAGTTTCAAAGCTTTCGCCAAAGTCCAGATGAATTATGAAATATGAAATTATACATTTCTCCCTGTTATTTTATATTTGTTAATTTCCGAAGTACTTCACCGAGTTCACTTCTATTCGAAATTCATTATTAATAATGAAAGTTGACAAAACTTACTCGGATTGTTCCAACTATATGTGGATTCTAAGCTTATCCTAATTGGCCAAATTCCATAAGAATCGAGTGGAAGACGGGTTTTCATTTCATTGTTGGCATCACTGACTTTATGTCAGTTGCTTCAATTCCACCATTTTCCAATAGATGGCGGCACATATAATTTTTGCGGTCTAATTTAGAATTGACCATATTCGATAAGGAGTAAGTGGTAGCCAGGTTTTATCCTTTATTTATCGCCTCTAAACAATAAAATGGTTCGAATATTATTTCAAATTTCCTAATTGTTTTGACCAATGACAGCTATAATGGAATTCATGATTGCCAACCCTACCATCATTTATTCGTTATTGAATATGGACAATTCAACAACTTACTATTTTTATCTGATAATTAACTCAATTGTCCGTACTAATTTGCTTAATACATAAATGCCACGTCTTTGACGCTCTACGGTCTAGTATTGAATCTAAAATACATATCCAGCACCATATAAAAACAGCTGCATAACAATAATGGGAGTTTTTTGATTAACAGTATTGTATAATGCGCTATTTTAATGAATCGCATCGACTCATGAAAAATGTATTAACTAGATATAAAGGGGCCAGTTGAATTATTAGATATGTTGAACTGCTAATTCGGTGGGAATCCCCAACTCGAATCACATAGAAAGCGATTAGAGGATTATAAAATATTGAAATGGTTTACCAGTCACGACTTTTTCAATTTTCTATCATAATATATGCCTCAGATTATGAGTATATTCATAAAATCTGAAATAAGTAATTATTTCAACGTCATTAATATTATACCACCCGTCAATCATTGGAGTTTTTTGTGCATAAGTATATTTATTACCATTTTAGGAATCTTCTTTCATGAAATTTTAGGGTATCGGGGTTTTGTTTTCCTTACGATTAAAACAATGTGGGCTGTTAGGAATCACACGTTAAAAGGTAAGACCTCGTTAATCCTTAGCTCGCACAAGCTTCGACTTCTGAGGGTTGTCGTTCGTAGGGGTGCGACAGCTGGTTAACGGAAAAACAGATTTTAAACAGATTTGCGTCTGTAAATTTACATGAATTCAACTGCTAATTATTCAATTATTGCCAAATTTCAGAATATATAGAGATAAACCGCAAGATGTTGAATAAATTACAGACATCAGTTTTGATAGTTGTCTACCAAGTCTAGTTGAGTCATTAAAGTTAGCAATATTATTTAGAAAATACATACCGTTGGCCATTTGAAACCGAATGAATAAACAAATGCGAAATTTTAAACCACACTATTTTGTTGGAGTCACACAAAATCACATCTACAAACTATCCCAAGAAAAATGTTATTCATGTCATCATGATTAATTTGCCAACTTGAGGAAGTCTACAAGTGTAATTGGCATACATTCTTGACTCTTGATGCGAAGAAGTAACATTATAAGTACTTTCGCTTAATTACTACACATAAAATCGACCACTTCTTCATTGGTGAGCCACTGTATTTAACAATTTATTCTTTGTCATTAGGAAGTCGATTCATTCATTTTGAGAATTGACGTTGTTTTATAGAGATACACAAACAGAAACAACTTCGAAGGCGAACTCAAAAATAAAGTTCTTGAGGTGGTTAATAGTAATAATAATAATGTGTTTTATTGATGGTTCCATACAAACCAATCAAATGGCAGGATTCAATATCTGCGTATGATAAATCATCGCAGAGATTGCTCTTCCATCCAACCGTAAGAACAAAAGAAAAAGATAGAAAACCAAAAAAAAAACAGTATGCTATCGAGAACAATGCAACAATTATATACAGCGAAATTACATTTTTATATACATTTTGTTGAGCTTGGAGAATGGTTGATTGATTTCGACATAATTCGATTAGTTGGATCTATTTATTGCAAGAAAATATTTTTTTATCTTTCGTTTGAAGCTTCCTAATGGCAGAGGTTTATATTCAATGGGTATCCGATTACATGAGTGGGTAATATGACAAGTGAAAGATCCGCGAAATAGAGAAGCTTTATGCTGTGGTATTGTTAAATGTGTCCTGAATCTCAAGTTAAGATTGTTCACGTCAGTTCTAAAGGATATTTTTTCGAAAAGATAGACGGGTTTTCTTGTTTCAAGGAGTTTCGTTTGAGTTGTTTTGTCTGAGTTCCATATTCAACTAACCACATCCCCAAACATATGGTAATTGAGGCTAATGCATGCATTCTGGAGCTTTTGGATTCTAAAACTGTCACTCTTCAAAATTCCCCGACTATACACCACGTCTGCGTAGTTGGCATGTGAAAGAACTAAAGCATCGCAGAGCATATATTTTTTATTCAGAAATGCTTTTCTGGAATATATTATTAAATGTGTGTTTTAAAACGAAGACTGTTGTCAAGATATAAGCCCAAGTTTTTTGTAACTCCTTCCAAGGGAAGTTCTGTTCCATCTATTACAATATTCAAGACCAGAACAACGATTTCTCTCCGCTGTTCTACCAAAGAGCATGCCATTAGATTTAGATGCATTAACTGATGGGCATTTTTTAGTTGACAAAAATAATAACAAATCGAGATCGGTATTAATTTGCCATAGGGCCTCGTTAATTGAATTCTCGTCGAATTCCATGTATAACTGAGTATCGTCGGCATAACAATGCTTGGTTGTGAATTGCAGCGACCTATGAAATTGAGATGTGTATAAAACGAACAAGAGAGGTCCCAATATTGAACCTTGGGGAACACCGTTTTTAATTTGTATTGAATCAGGTTTTTCGTTATTATACACAACTCATTGAAAACGATTGCGAAGGTAACTTTTTAGTAGTGCTACAGCATGTATTGAAAGCCCTAGGTAGCCCAGAATAACAAAGAGGATGTGATGGTCATGGTCATTATCATGTTTCTGAAAAGATGGGAAGTAAGATGAGTACGAGTTACGCCTTGACGAGGTGACAATTTTTATTGAACAAAGCTCGAGCCTGCGTCCAACATGGACGTCGTTCCATGAGTAGAAGTCACTATATAACCTCTGAAGAATAGTTTTCAGAATATTTCATATTATCAATAACATATTTTTAACTTGTAGGTATCATCTCCTGATAATGCCGACTTGCTTAGCGAAACCCGCGTCGAGTATAAGTATTTTTGTTCCGGTGTGGAAGCCAATTTACTTGTTTTGTCAAACATAATATTGTTTCTCCGCATCATTTCTTAAACTGTACCTGCATCAAATATACGAAATCTGCCTTCTCTTCATGACCAAAAACTCTTCCAAGGTCGAACCCAATTCGTCATATCTATAAAATATTCCTCGAACTACAAACTCCCACGTTCTCAACCGGGTGGCCATAAAAAGAAGGAACTCGTGGGATGAACTTTGTTTTCTAAAAGTGGGTTGGTTAGTTTGCATTTTATGTATGCCGTTCTAACGCCAGCATAACGGATGGTTGCACAGATTTTTTCGTCAAGGTCGTTTTTACTGGACGAAATGGAGCTTGAACAATGTTTGTGTAACACGGACTCAAACAGTTAATTCCACATGCTCGATAAATAGTCGGATATGGGTGTTGAGTAATAGAGTACTGTAGTGTTTGTAGCGTGAGCAGACGCGATTTCGAGAGTTCTTCGTGACTACGTCTTAATAGGGTAGACTTTTACCGAGGATTTCCTTTCATGTGTCGTTAGGAGCTCTCAAAAGTAGATAAACAATACTACTCAGTTTCTGATGGTGAACGATCAGTAAAAACAAAACTCTTTCATCGGAAAAGAGGTATTCCGGAAAAAATACTCTATTTTTGAGATGTACCTATTGATATAACAGTAGACTTCGAACTATCACCCTCCAAACTTAATAGTTATTGTATTAGCGGTTTGATAGCTTTAACTCCGGCGAAAAGACATAGCCTGTACGTTACGTTGAACACGCTTTGAAGGATCCAAGATTTCGTATCAAATCTAGCCGGTATGAACACAAAATGCATCTAAAAAGTCACAATAGGCTTGTTCTGGTTCTCTACCCGGACTGTTCTTAACAGTCAGAAAACAGTCACCCAGCTGAATACTGAACATTTTGTCGCGTTAACCTTTTCAGTCCACAACTGACTCACTGATTTTGGACGATTCGAAACAGTACTAACTGAGAACCAGAACAAACCTTGTGAGAAATTACAGATTCGAAAAATATAGTTCTTCAACTGACAGTTCGCCCCTACTTCTCATAGAGTCATATGTGTTACTGCTTCTACAACTTTAACTCAAATGAACTGGAGTATGGAAATAGTAGAGGACGATCAAGGAGGCTGTACCTCCTGGATTGGACAATATACCAGCTTTTATACTGGAGATATCCGCATTTGTTTATACCTGCGACTTGAGAAAACCCCACAAGAAGATGTCTTACGGGGTTAAATCATACGATCTCGATGGCCAGTTCACATCAACTTCACGTGAAATCATTCGTGCAGAATATCCAATGTGGCATGTAGCGCCGTCCTGTTGAAACCACATGTTGTTGGTGTCCAAACAAAATTGGTTATCACCGACCTAGTCCAGTCCATGTCATGGCGTGGCAGGTACTGTGTGCTCTGACCAAGCATCTTGATTTCAAACAGGTTGGAGCCCAGCTCCCTTACCCTTTTGGCTGATTTTTGTCGAAGAAGGATAAATGAGTTCATGACTGAGGTATGAAGTCCTCAGACATCAGTACCGCCTTTCACGAGGTACCCCTACCTGGCTGGGGTGGGATGGATGAAAAATCGACCTTTAACGGGGGACATGGGGGCCTCATTCGACAGAGTGTCGGGGCCTTCTATATCGGGAGGGGTCGTCTACAGCATATTCTATAGCTTCTCTAACTAACGGATTTTCGTGAGTTTCCGCGCTATCAAAATCCCTGCGAGTGGCTTCATTCCGCACGAACCAAGGATCATTCACAATCATCCTCATTAGCTTATTTTGCACGGTCAAAGGCCTTTGAGATCTCTAACAGTACTATGTGCACTTTTTTATTAGTGTTCAACTCGTGGATGGTGTTTTCGACCAGCCGTAGAGCTTGTAACTCAGTGGAGTGTTCTCTCCTGAAGCCAAATTGTTCATCAGGCAGAACATTTCGGTCCTCAACTTCTTCGTTGAGCCTTTGGAGAACGACTCTTTCAGCCAGCTTAGCCGCCGACGAGCCTGCGGGTGACTCGCCAAAGAATGGAGATATTATACTTCGCCGCTTGTCCCCAGACGCCTAAAGCATACATGATGACAGGCTTGAACATCGTGTTGTAGATGGTGATTTTGTTCTTTACTCATTTTTGATTTTCTGTTGATCAGAGAGTACAGACTTGCTTTCCGACCCTCGATCTTTGATTTAACGCACATAATATGCGGATTCCAAGTGAGCCTACGGTCTATTAGAAGGCCGAGGTACTTTACCCGCGCTTGCCAGTCAATCTCCCTCCCAGAAATTCTCACTTTTCTGGCCGGAGAAGATAGCAATCTTTCCATGGTTATCGCCTGAGTCTTGTTCGGGTTCACTCGGATTTTCCAATCGAGGTACCAGCGCTCGAGGTCGTCCAATGCGCGTTGCATGTAGACGACGCCGAACTCTCGACCCATGGAAAACGAGAGGAGAGCCGTGTCATCGGCGTATAGAGATATCTTCACAAGCTCGAGCCTCGGAAGGTCACTGGAGTAAAGTGAATACAACGTCGGAGAGAGCACGGCCCCCTGTGGCACTCCAGCGAGGATCTCTGTTGTCGTATACAGAGCCCTCTACTCTAACCTGAAAAGTTCTGTCTTTCAGGAAAGACCCAATCCATCGGATCAGATCCTGAGGCAGATCTAACGCGATTAATTTGTGCAGACCTTCGTGCCATACACGGTCGAAGGTCTTCGAGATCTCTAACAGTACTATGTGCACTTTTTTATTAGTGTTCAACTCGTGGATGGTGTTTTTGACCAGCCTTAGAGCTTGTAACTCAGTGGAGTGTTCTCTCCTGAAGCCAACTTGTTCATGAGGCAGAACATTTCGGTCCTCAACTTCTTCGTTGAGCCTTTGGAGAACGACTTTTTCAGCCAGCTTAGCCACCGACGAGCCTGCGGGTGACTCGCCAAAGCTCGTCATACCCAGGCCCGAAGGATTCCAAGAGCTTCCCCCACCTTCCGTTTCGGTGATCTGTTTGACTTGATTGGCCATCCTGCTTGCCGCAAGTTTATCTCCTGGGAAAAGGTTTCGTTGATAGAGCCTTCTCAAGCGATTTCTCTTTCAAATCAAGGCTTTGATACGAGGGGGAAGCTCTTCAGCGGACACTCTTCCCTGGAGGTGCCGCTCGAAACGCATCATTCACAGAAAGCTAGAAACGTTCAACTGCCGCGTCGAGTTCGTCGGTAGAGCGGAGTGCCTCAGGAGAGGCACGCATCTCTCCGAGCTGGGTTGTGAAGATATCCCAATTCGTTTTAGATCTCATGTGATAATCAGGGGAAGGAAGATCATCGCCCAATACCAGGATTACTGGATTATGATTGGAATCCAGTTCTGACAGAATGTAAATTTCGCTAGTCAGAGAGACGTTTCTGAGAAGCGCGTTGTCTAGTACATCAGGCCTAGTCTGCCCGCGCTAGTACCTACGTAGGCTCATCTGGTCACTGTGTGCTCTGCTATCACGGCTTGACTTTATTCGTGAAGAATATTCCACCCCAAGGTTGACGGACCATGGTATATTTTCCGCAATCTAGTGAGGACCTGATCGTCGCGGCGGTCAGTCTGCAACTACTACCCTTCTTTGGGCAATTAAGTAACATAAAAGTGTGATTTGGGTTGTTGAAATGATCAGCAGTTACAGAGAAGGCGGCAGTGGAGGTTGGAGATTCTTTGGTTACTTCATGGTTCATTAAGCGTCCCACGAGTATCTAGAGGACCTTCAGTGTCCTACATTAGCTAACGACTCTCTACGACAGTAGGACCCTCGCTGTCTTGAAGGTCCCCTTAGTGATCGTGAGTGGCCTCATAGTAATGAACCCTCTCGGCGAAAATTCACACATCTCATAGGATGGAGCCATTATTTAGGAAGACTTTTAATTCCACGGGATACACTTTACCTAGCAAGGGTAACTACGACCCCCGCTGCAGGTGTAACTAGTAACTACATATCTATCAGCTTAGTACGCGTTTGTTCCAAAATAGTCGAAATAATTATTTTTGATACCCTTTTACTTTTACTAATAGAAAATCGAGTGATTTGATTGACCAAATATGATTTTACACTCGGCAGATCAGTAACAATCAACTTGCTTTTTTTGCTTGATTGAATGGATCCTTCACTTCCTTTGTTTGAAGGTGGTTGACAATTTTTCATGGTGAATTTCATTAGTTCGGACTTCCATTATCTAATGTAATATGTAAAGGTGCAAGATTGAAAATAAAAATAAGCAAAAAAATCAAAATTGAACGATTGTAATGAAATGAAAATTAAAAGATTTCCAGCTCAGTTACTTCACGACGTTGCGATTGTTAAAATCCACAATCGTCTGGAGTATTCCTCCGAGAGATGACTACTTATAGGTTATTCGAGTGCTTTTACTTATCCCCTCTTCCCTCTCTCCGCTTAACCGGTTTAGAGGGAGATGACCCTTTTTTGCTTGATTATGAATGTTCATATGTTGCGTATCTCTACACTAGCTTGGCTGAATACGTCGTTGGACATATGCAGCTGCTTTAAACATACTCCTAAACCAGTATTTCTCCCTGTGAACGATCTATACGCTTGGATGATATGTTGATGAGTCAAAACATGCTCCGCTATTCCCGATTTGCTTGTTTCCCCTCGCTGTGTGCTTCTTTTGCATTGCCGAACACAAAAGGAGCACACAAACTACAGTTTATTGTAATCGTTTGAAATTGTCCTCATAGGACGAAACTGCAGTAACGTTAGTTACAAATAGAAGGGGTATAAGAACATGGAAAGTTTCATTTTTTATTTTTAATACCTAATTGTATTCATTTTTTGAAGTGAGCCACAGCATTTTCATAATGTTATAAACCGCCACCAATCATAATCGGCTCTTGCTTCCTGATCAGGAGCAATCGAAGCACCAAACAACAAAGTAGCATAAGCTACAAATAGAGTTTTTTAACAAATAAGTGAGTATATTCAATTTAATTTTTGTAATATGTAAAGGAAATGTGTGAATTCATGTTGTAAATTTATTACCAACCAAAGAAAGTACCATTTACACGATGATAAATACGAAAGTGGGCCGTATGTTTGTTTCCTTTCAAATGATTGAGTAAAATTAATGAAATTCGACATCACATTTAGCATATTTGGATTTTTACTTTCCGTCATATTGCCAATAAATAATAACAGCCATTGGAGGGTTTGCAACAAATTTCCTATGGGTGTTATCCTCGAACATTGTTAGATTATTCGCATAGCACGATTTTGCATCTATTGTAGTCTGTTTATTTCATTTTGTTTTAGAAAAAACAGAATGGTAGAACAATAATTCAAATGTGGAAGGATTATGGAGTTGTAGACTAATAATTTAGACCACTGGCTCATATATGGGAAACATCTTCTTGAATAGTTGATTTTGTAAGCTATCATTTTGATAACTTGATTAGCATGTTCCTTGAACGTCAAGTTGCTGTCAATAGTTACACCCAAGTACACGAATTTGTTTACCTTCTCTATATCACTGTCATTCAATCGTAGAAGTAGGTTTTCATTATTGTGATCTTTATATTTCCTTAATAACATCCATTTTGTTTTATTCACGTTCACGCTCAGCAGATTTGCAGAGCAATATCTATACACCCTTTCAAGACTAGTGTTTATAGTATCAACACACTCATGTACACCATCACTACTGAAGTACAGTCGGCAAATGAATGAATTCTACATTCTTCTGCTATGGTGACAATGTCATTTGAATATATGAGAAATAATAATGGTCCCAAAATATACCCTTGGGGTGCACTTATATTATTTTGCATTTTATCCGAATAAACTTCCTCTAGTTTCAACTTTTGCTGTCAATTGCTCAGATAATTCATGATCCAGTTTAGTGCGGTTCCATCAATACCTACGCTTTTAATATTTCTAACCAGTCTCCATCTATCTACAGTTTGCTCTTTGAAGGTCAAAAAATACAGCAATGGTATACTGATCCATTTCCGCACCTTTATTCACTCTACTGTTTATGTAATTTTCTGTGAAAAGGTAACTGAACATCTTTCAACCTGCCCCGTATACTAAACGATTCGATCGTACCTTGTTGCTAGTTCGTGTGTTGACGAAATTCTCCGTTGGTGCGCCACGGTCGTCTCACTCGCCTTTTTGCGGCATTCGTGTCTTCTGTTGAATGAGCGAAAGAAGTCGGTGGTGTGTTCGGGTTCTGTCACATGAATAGGATGGATTGTTTATGTTTTTATCTAAAATTCCGGAAGTAACCTAACATTTCTAGTTTTTTCGTGACTCCAGTGTCAGTTATCATAGTGTCTTCGGATCAGGACAAGAATTTCGTGCTTTCTTTCGTTAAACTACTTAAATATGTCATTGAAAAACAAGACTTTCGCTTTGTACCTGTGAAGAATGTAACCACACTTAGTTTTATGGATAATGCTCTGAGAATTTTGGTGGTGACCTGTGGACGTGTTCTGTGTTAGGATTTTCTGTGTGACTCATTTGGATACTGTTGATTTGTTTATTCTCTGGATTTTATTGTTTTCATTTTCTGGATTTTGACTACTACAGCTGGATACTTACACTATGGGTAATTACATACTTATATATTAATTGCTTATTAAACATTGTTTTCATAGGTGATTCTACGTCTTCATGATGTGAATAATAATTCACGTAGCTCTACCTAATTTTCAAATCACAGCGTCACCTACCTGTGGATGACGAACAAAAAAAGCAGCCCTACCTTATGTGATAATGTGATTTCAATAATTTTTTTGAGAAGAATAAAACACCTCACTGTAAAATTAGGTAATCTCTCCACTTCCACGAAATACAAGGGCATCACAATGACAGCTGTCAAAATAATTAATTAAATGAATAATTTCAAATATGTGACTCGATTACAATAAAATTAGACTAATCCTTTGGAGATCGGTTTTCAAATAATATTGCACCTTCTTTTCAACTTATGCATTACTACTGGTGTCAGATTCCCTCTATATTATTTCTTGAAAAGGCGTTAATATCGAGATTAATATGCTGAAGAGCAGGGAACATCCGAAGAAAGGAAAACATTGTAAATGTACATTTTCTACACAGAAATGTGTAGATTTGTGTAGATTTGGGTTCAAAATGAACCAAAAGGTGAGAAGTCGAGAACTAGTTAAGAGATACTCCGTTACGGTGTGCGAAATGAAGTTGAAAAAGTTATTTCCCTGTCATTCAACGAAAAGTAGTTTTTTCATATAGGTTTTTATCGTCACATTGATTAAAGTAACGTCAAATCATTATCACTAAATAAAAATGTAGCTTTCAAAGTATTTAAGTACTAGAAAATATCATGGAGTTGAGAATGCTAATAGATAAATCAAGTTGAATAAACCAATTTCGAAAAAAAATTACAGGGAAGGGCCAAATTGTGTTGGCACGCCTTGTATAATATTGTAATGTACCCCGCTAATCACCCTCTGAGGTTGATGCGGTTTTGCTTAAATAAAAAAAATACCAGGTACCAGTTATGCATAAAATTTGTAATATGTTTCTGAATATATGATAATAATTTTTTCAATCTTATGAGCGAATGTATTAGCTTTAATTAATTCAAAAATGGATCAAAAATTGTATTGTTATCGAGTATAATGGACTGAGGATGAACACTATTCGATGAATCGAATACGGTCACAATTTTCAGGGATTATCTTACGGCAAACAAGAAATATAGAGCCGAGATAAAGCACACTTTTAATCCTAGTTTTCACGGAGTTTTCGCCTGGGTTTTTCCCGCTTTTCACCCGCTGGATATTAAACTACAGGTTTAGGTTGATACCCTATATTGTGCAAAGTTTCAGAGCATCAGCGGGATAAGAGAATATGAATGTTAACTTGAGAACATACGAGTGGGAATCCATGTATCTCGGAAGACATCCTAAGATGTCTAATGACTTGAGTCGAAGTTATTCCCGAGACCGTAGCTGAGTTGGGTTTTTCCCAATTTTATTACATAAATACC